AATATTATGGTCTTTTACTTCTGTTTGATTTAATTTCCGCACCAAGACTTTTCACTGATCTACGACAGTGCTAAGTCAATCACTTAAACAAAATCATACTGAATTATTATCTAGACACAATATTTAACACAAATACAGAAAATTACATGTGGTATCAGAGCTTTTAAGTCTACATAATGACTTGATCCGTAACGGAATTAGAATTTCTGTATTTTGTGATATTCTTAGTTGAATTGGGGGAAGTATTGATGAGAAGTTTTCTATCGAGAAATCTACTTGCTGAATCTACATGATTGAGAAATCTACTTGGTGAGTCAGATGCTTTACCAAACTTTGATACTACTGATTAGGTCAATGAGGAGGAACCCCCTGCTGAGGTATTTACTTTGTCTATGATTTTGACAAAAAAAAGGGGGAGTAGTATACATGGAGGGGGAGTTTTAGTATACGTTGCGGGGGAGTTTGATAAATTTGTTAGAGTTTCTTTTGAAGGGGTTTTACCTTTACGATTGTAACTGCTTTTTGCTTAAGTTTTTTGGTTATTTAATTGTATTATTCTTTATCGAATTGTTTTGCCAAATAATAGCCAAAGGGGGAGTTTGTTAGTGTTTAAATTTTGTAAACCCCAACTTGTAATTGGCAAAATTATTATGGCAAAACTAGCTAGGTCAAGTTGTGTCTGTTATAGTCACTGAGCGATGATCTTGCGGAACAGTCACTACGCCTGTCGGGTTTTGGAAATTAGCAGTTGATTTTGCAGCCCTTATGACCAGCAATGTAGTTACCAAATTGATGGTTTTACAAACCATTCTTGATGAAGTCAGAATTTGCCAAAAGGAAAAATGGCAAGTAATCTTGGTCTACAAGGAAACCCTAGAAGATTACTTGTCATCCAAGTCTCAACGTATTATATATACTAGTTGTTTACATGGGAAAAAGGTGAGAGAGAGAAAAAAATAGAGAGGAGCTTTACAAGAAATATCTTTCAAGATTTGAATGTCAAAAAATCTCTCTCCACGAGTTACAAAGAAAATACTTTGAGTTATCATCTTCTCAAGACACCATTGATGATCTGAGTTTAACAAGACTCTTGGGAAGAATTTCTACACAGAGCTTAAATCAGTGGACCGTATTCCATACAACTGTGGGAACAGTGGTGAGTGGGTCAGCGAGACGGACAGCAACAACACGGATCTCCAAAGGGACTTTGGACGCTGAAGCACGAATCTCCGAGCTCGACAATCCTCTATAGCTTTCAAAAGATTGGGTATTACCATGTGGTGTGTACCACACATTGGGTGAAAAGGTTTTCTCTTACCGTTTGTTTGATTGCTGTTGAGATAGTGGATTGGACTCACTGATGGTGGTCCCCTAGACATAGATACTGTTGTATCGAACTGGGTAAACAATATTATGTGTCTTTTACTTCTGTTTGATTTAATTTCCGCACCAAGACTTTTCATTGATCTACTGACTGATCTACGACAGTGCTAAGCCAATCACTCAAACAGAATCATACTGAATTATTATCTAGACACAATATTTAGCACAAATACAGAAAATACACCCTCATCATACCTAGCTTCCAAAGGTGCTATTCTTTGACACATGGAGTCGAGCCTGCAATTTACCAAAGTAAAACCTTGCTCCATTGATTGATTTTGCTTCAGAATCTGAGTTGGAATAAGGTCCATGGTTGATTTCGGATCATGCTTGCCTTTTGTTCTCCTTTCTCTCCAACTAGCAACTTCACTACCGGAAGTCCCATTCTCTCCATCATTCCTTTCATCTTCTTCCTCATTCTCTCATTCTCACTCTTCTTGCACCGATTACTTGAGCTTCTTGCTTGGTATATTAAACTGTTCCATCAACACTTTCCTCTCACTCACCGGCATACGGCTCAACTCATCAATGGTAATATACTCATTTGAAAATTAGCCTTCCTGGTAGTTTAGCCAACACCCTGTTCACATTCACTCCCTTTTGCACAAAAATCCAACTTAAAACTATCCCATATGGTAAACTCTTTCGATTGTGAGCTATGCCAAAGTTCATATGTTGCAACATAAGAGCCGACAGATTAAACTTGACTTGGTGCTTAAGGAAATACGCAAAAGATAATGATAATGAAGAGAATATTATAATGAAAGATTACAATAGATTGTATCTCTGTGTATGTCCTCTATAGCTCTATAGACCTCTATATATACTAAACTAAATACTAAATTAACCCTAATAGGATTAAGAAACTAATAATAAGAATAGGAAACTAACACATATTTCCTAATATTCAAAATTACTAAAATTGATCCAATAAATCATGTTTACGGTAACCAACAAGTTGCCCATAAAAATATGATGATGTGGCATGCAGGCCGTCATTGACCACCTCTGACCATCGTTGATAACAAAAGTTGCCATCGTCCACAAAAAAGTGACTGATAAGTGCCAAAGATGCTATGTTTTATAGGGTAATTTAGAGGTTATTTGTGCTATAATTGGAGTCCTTTATGCCTAATTCATGCTTCTTTTTTTTTTTTTTTTTTTTTTATGTAGCATAATTCATGCTTAATTATCTTAATTTGATAGAAATTAGGATTAAGGACTAATTCTATTGCATTTGTAGAAAAATAGCAAAACATTGTCAATTTTTAGGGCATTCCGGCGACAGTTCGGTAAAATGATCATATCTTGAGCTAGGAGTGTCCAAATGAGGTGATTCAAGTGGCTATGGTTCGGGCTTTTCAAGGGCTACAACTTTCATTTTGGGCGAAAATTTCCAGAAAGTTCAACGTAGCTCGAAACATGCGGTGCAGCTGCGTTGATAGGACAGTTAAATGAAAAATCAGAATTTGAGCCTATAAAAAGGCTGGTAAGGGAATTGTTTTAGGAGAAGTCTTTTTCCCCATTTCCTCACCTTTCAATTCAGATTAGGTTAGATTAGGGTTCGGTTAGATTTACATTTCCTTAAAGATCTGCACTCATTTGTTCTACAATTTCTCTTGGATGCTTACACAATAGATTGAAGACTTGGGTAACCACTCTTCCTTGTTTATTATTTCAGATTTAATTTGTGTTTTTCTATCCTTGTAATGATGATGAGTGCTTAGATTGCTTGGATTTGGATTGGATTTGATTTGTTGATTATGTATTCATGCTTAGTATGGTTTATATGATGAGATTTGATGTATGGATTGCCCTTGAATGCCTTTGTTGTAGAGGTGTGCATATTGATCTCTTTCCATTGTAGGATCCCAGTGGTTAGATGAGTGTGAGAGTGGGAGTTTAGCAAGAGATTGAACTCTCCTTAGTCTTGCCCTTGCAATCCCCTTCATACGACTCGAGAGGGCGAGCTTAGGGGAGGAGACGGTAGACCACCCACCAAGTGTTTGATAGAATGCCTCACCCGATGTAGGGAATGAGAGTTTAGGTGTGATGCCACCTAATGTTGGTGTCTTGGTTTTCCCTTAGGTTAGGCAACCTTTGCATCACCCCTTGTCCCTAGTTAAAAGACCATTGAATGCATGATCACAAATCCCTTCCATCAAAATCCCTATTTTACCTTCTTGTTTGTTCTCTTTATTTCTTTTGTTTCCTTTATTTTCTTTGTTTCCCTTGTTTCCCCATGTTTCTCTCCCTTTATCCTATCTTGCACCTAGTCTATCCCATTGATACATTGTGACACTAGATTGTTTGCACTTTACTTACTCCGACTTGCCATCCTTGAGTTCGATACTCGAGAGTTTCACACTTCCATTTACACTCTTTCACACACCACAATTCCACTCCACTCAAATACACAACATCAGTGACCAAGTCGACCGTCAGTAGGCGACCAAATTGGTCACATTCTTAAAGAAGAAAGCGGCCACTGGCTTCTCTAAAGGAGAAGGCAACCAATCTGGTTGCCTTTTTTAGTAACAATGGTGATTGGCTGGTCGCCAGTCACCAATTTCATCATTGCACCTCTAATAACCAATTATTTCATGTGGATAACTTCTTATTAAGTCTAGATTAATCAAAATGACAAGTTAAAGTGTTTAATTGCAACTTTTTAAAGTTCAAGGACTTAATTGCTTTCTCGTGTGAAGTTCAATAACTTATTTGACCCTTTTCCCATTCTTTTTTATATTCTTTCCTTATAAAATATGAAGATAACTTAGAATAAAAATCTTTAAGACTTTTTCATAATAAAGGATTAGGAAATCTTTATGATTTGAATATTCCTTCACAATTCTAAATTAAGACTCAATTGCACCAAATATAAACATTTATATTCAAAATAAATAAAGTTTGAGTTTTTCAATATTTTACTATCAACTTCAAAATTGTTTATATTCATTTTTTTAATAAAAGTTTTTCATATTTAGTCACCTAGTACAGAATTTATTGACAGTATACCAAATTCGATAGTAAAGTTATACTCCGCAATTTATATGTGTTGATGCATTAATATTTTTATCAATTAGTTTAAAATAGTAAAAAAATAACAATAAATCAAGATAAAAGTTAAAGTCAAACTTAACCACAGATACAAAAGGAGAAAATTTGTTTAATAGAGTGTGAAGTCTAATTTTCACTTTTAATTTGAGAACTTTAGCTGTTTAAATTAATTGATGAAATTTCAATGCACCAATGTAAGAAAATAATCAAATTTACCTTTGAATTTGATGTCTAACTAACAAATTTGATAACAAATGACTAAATCTGACAAATTTTCAATTATCAAAGGTTAAATATAATAAATTTTAAAGTTGATGACCAAAGCTTAAAAGATTAATAATTGATGGGCCTTTTGATGAAATTAATTTAAATAAATATAAGGGTCAAATCAACAAATATTACAAATTATAGGTCAAACAATTCATTTAGCTATTTCAATTTGTTGTGAGATCTTTCCTTTCAAAACTTCTAGTTTGCCATCTTCTCCTTGATCCTTTAATCTTCATCATATCTTTGAATAAATTGACCTTGGTAAGATTCCTACTTATTTTATATTATTAATTAACTACTCCACTAACTGCAATGTCCTAGTAGGATTCTCTCTCTCCCTTTCTCTCTCTTACATTCTTCTCCTAGTTTGCTATTCTCAATACCCTTTGTGTTGGTTAGGGTTCCACCCACACTTTCTCTTAATTAATATTCTCTTCAAAATTTGTTGGTTAGGGTGAGTCTTAATAACCTCTCAATCACTGAAAAAAGGTGCAAGATAGGAGGGAACTGGAAATGGGTTTTGTTTCTCTGTAGCTATTCTGTATGAAATAGGTTTTTTCTTTTTCTTTCTTTGTGTAGTTTGGAGCATTCTGCTCTTGTAAATTGATGCTGCACAGCTTTCTCCTTGCAGTGTACAGAACCTGGAAGTAAGAGAAAACCTCAGATCTCTCTAATTCTCATTCTCATATTCTCTGTGGCAGTCATTGCGCTGTATTGCGCCTTTTCTTTCTTCTTCTCCATCAGTGGGTTCTTCTTTGCTACTCCCAAGAGCACAAGGACCTCAGGGGGTTCAGTCTAACACTCTAACCCGCCCCCATTCACTGCTCGTTACTGCGCTTGAAGAAGCGTTGTTTCTTAAGAGGTATTATTTTTTTGAAATAGAGGAAGAAAAAACATTGAGTTTAATTTTCATGCATGTTAGTCTTATGGGCTTTCTATTATTTTGCTACTGTTACTTGTTTGCAACGTTGTTTTTGAAAATATTGTAGCCTTTTACAACCATGTTTTTCTAAAAATGAAAAAAAAAAACCCGGGAATTTTGGTCATATCAATTATCAACTAAGTTGGGAAAGAGGCCAAAAATATGGCGTGTTACAAAAATAAGCCCTTTTCTGTTTTTGGCAAAAAAGGAGAAGCTCCCATCTATTTAATAGCATAGCTTGAACAGTGTTTTGTTGTTGGGAGGAGGGGAGGTGGGATGATGATGGTAATGAAATTATGAAATTGTAATCCAAGTCTGGAGTGAATCCAGCCTTCATTCTATCTTGCATAGAGAATAGAATATTAGATTAGATTTCCACATTTTAGTACAAATGGAGGAGAGGTGTAAATCTCATTTTCAATTATGTTTTTATGACATCTTGCCTCTGGCATGTTGCTGTCTTATGGAAAGCAATTCCAGTGTAGGAAGTTGTTGAAGAGATGTGTAAACATTTTTTTTTCTCCTTTTCTACAAAATACAAAGAACAGAGATGACTTAAGGAACCAAAGTACATCTCCAAGGCTTCTGAGTCAATGGGTCGCTTTTTTATTTTTTATTTTACCAATTTTAACCGAGTTATGATGGGTTTGGCAGCAGAAGATTCTGAGGTCTGAACTGGTGGCCAAGGGCCAAGGCTGACTCCCATTGTAGAGACAAGCCTGTCTGTCCTGTGTTTGAAAACAATGCTGGGGTGTTCAACATTATGGGGTTGGAAAGAGTGATAACATAGTAGTAATAGGAGATTGAATAAGGAAGTAACTTGACACTTACTTATAGAAGTTACTTGGTGCTTGTTTGTTTTATAGTTTATTAGAGCTTATCTACTTTGTAAACCATAGGCTGCACCAGACACTAAAAGGAGAAATTTTCTTTTAAGGCCAAATAAGAGGCAAAACGCTCTTTTTCAAGAAGCTTCATACTTGAGGTTTTTTTAGAAAAGGCTTTTATTCAGTAAACTCCAATTGGCCAAACAAGCATTAAGAAAGGTATGCAACTGCAAATCCACTAAAGTCATTTGAAAGGTAAGAAAGTAACTTTTCGTGCATGTGTTTATTTGAAAGGAGAAGGAAGCTAAATTCTATGCAAAAGTACTGGTTGAGTGCCCAACTTATCCATCTAAAATGATTTGCAATAATAAGTCTTCTAAGTTTGCTTTTATATTTGAAAAAAAAAAAATTTCTTAATCTAGTTTAGTTGGCTTTCTTGGTCTCTTTGTTTAAAGTAGTCTGTTCTGCGTTTCTCGCTTGTTCTTAAGTCTTGCTTAGTCCTTTTAGTTTTGAACACTCCGTTACAAATCTTGACCAATTTTTGGGTGGAACTCTCTACTTATTTTCCCATATTTAATTCCTTTTCAGTCCTTAAGATGAGTCCAACAAACATTGTTGATTCCTGTAACGATGGAGACCTCAGAGGGTATATGAAAGCTGTTAAACTGGAGCCAGATTTTGTTGGAGGGTCAATGTCACAGAAGGAATTTTATAAAAATGATGTAATGCTATCCAAAGTGAATTCAGGAGAAAACCAAAACTCCACTGCTTCATATACCGTACAGGGTGACAGAAGCATTTTGGGTCAAGAACAGTCTTCAGTAGATGATTCAGGCCTTTGTTCCATATCACCAATATGTCCAGCACCTCTTTGTCGGCAGTTTTGGAAAGCTGGAAACTATGATGAGGGGCTTTCTTCTAAGCCTACCCATAAAAGTACCATACTTTTAAACACTAAATCTTTTTCTTTTTGGGAAATCATATAAGGCTTTAGTACCCCAGATACCCTGGGGTTAAGGCTCTCTAACTTGGTTTGTATATTACATTTTAATGACTTCCTATTTGTTGATCAATGGTTGCTACTGTGTGGTTGAACTTGACAAGCTCAAATAGTCAAGTTTTATGTTTTTTAGTGTTCTAAACTTAATTCAAGTCCTAGGCCAGTTAATTTCCTAAGTTTGGCTGATCGGCTAAGTGTTTATGTAAAGAACCAGCTATTGTGTCTCTACTTACATAGCCATACACTAATTAAGTTGTCATTTGTTTCCCCGGCCACAGGTTATCTGACTAGTTCTCTTTCTGTTGCAGATGTTACCAATTACTTGCACATTCACCCTAAGTTCCTACATTCAAATGCCACATCACACAAATGGGCATTTGGTGGTATGTGAACTGTCTGCTTGTTTAATCCTTATCTTCTGCCAGGACAGAAATACATATATATTGTTTATTTCTAGTTTCCTACCATGAATATGTAACACTAGTTCCACTTGCTGTCTCATGTTTGCAGCTATAGCTGAGCTGCTTGACAATTCTATTGATGAGGTTAGCTTCTTTTTGCCTGTCTCTCTTCTTTTCCTTTTTCTTGGCTGGCTGACAATGAAACTTTACGTCTTTACTTTGTTTACCATGATTCTGAAATTTCTAGTTATGCTGTAGGACGTCTTATCACTCAGATAATTACTCTCCATCTTTACAGTTATTTTTCTGAATATGTTTTATGGCGGGAAGACATGTGAATTCTTGATAACATGTAGTTGCCACCTCAGGCTTTAATTGTTTGGTGAAACTATGTATTCTAGTGTACATTCATTTATTTATTTTTAATTTAATTTTTTACAGATCTATCAAGTATAAAGTCCAAGATGGATTTGAAATACATATATTTAGATGTATAGTTAGAGTTTCAGCTAGTTATTAAACAAATTCATCTATCTATTACTTATGCATAAAAGCTGAATTCTAGGGATGATTTAAGTTGGAAGCTTTAGATTTTGGACATTTACACTTGGACCGCAAAAATACTCAACCCTGGGCCCTTTAAGCGATTTAGTGAAGAGTGAAAACATTTACCAATTGATCATTTGAAGCTACAAATGAATTAATGATGTATCTGAAAGTAATCTTCTCTTGTATTAAGTGATAAATCAACTTTTTTAGTGGCCTACATGTCTCTGGAAGCAATCAACTTTGAATGCTGATTGGCTAACAGAAGTATTTTGTGTATCCACTTTATGATTGGTAGGTCCTGTAAGCTGTCGGCCATATGACTCTTTGTCATGCATTTGTTCCCTCTCTGTGATTTATTTCTTCTTTCATAATGATTGTGTTTACTTTCTATGTTTTGCACCCATGTTTGATATGCTGAGTAGATACAAAATGGGGCCACATTTGTCGTAGTAGATAAAATTATCAATCCAAGAGATGGAAGCTCTGCTTTGTTAATTCAAGGTATTCTAATTCTTTCAGTTTATCAAGTGCACTTAATTTTTACTAGTATTAATGTATTATGGTTTTGAGGGAAATGCTAATTATGCAATTTTATGCCTTGATAAACTGGACATAGATGATGGTGGTGGAATGGACGCTGAAGCAATGCGTCGCTGTATGAGTTTTGGATTTTCAGATAAGAAGTCAAAATCTGCAATTGGACAGTGTATGCAGTTTGTCATTTGTCATTCCCTTATATTCTTTCAATTCCTTGTAAACTGCTAACTTTCAGTCTTTCAGATGGAAATGGTTTTAAGACAAGTTCTATGAGACTTGGAGCAGATGTTATAGTCTTCAGCCGCTCAATGAAGAGGTTAGAGCGCTGTTTTTATTTTCTATTTTTGGTGTATCATATTTCATTGGGTTTTTATGCATGCGTTTGAGAGGTTGGGTGTATATCAAATGATAGAGTCATAGTAAATACCTTGTAATTATATATATTTGGGTGTGTATTACATGCTCATTAGTTGTATCTCACATGCTTCTGTATAAAAGTTCTGCTTTTGTCAGTTTGTGTTTTGGTACTTCATAAAGTTTTGCTTGCAATTATCGTACTTGTAATGATAGATTGATAGGTACAGCCGTACAGGTCTCGTGCTTGCACTAAGTTTTGATTTCAGTAATCATACTTGTTTCTGTTTCATACACATCTGGATATATCTTAGCTCAAGAATAGCAATTTTTCATTCGGTTAAGGTCTTAGGGAGTGGAATTTCTTAGCCATTTCAAGTAGTCTGATTGCAGCGGAAAAGATTAGACTGGTTTCTTGGAGATAGTGGTATGGTGCTGGTCAAGAATATGTTTCCTTTCCTCAATAGCACCGAATGTAGGAGAACTAGATACATTCAACAAACTTCATTTATTATTGCTAGAATAAGTTAAATTTTCAGAGAAGACATGTTACTAGCAAGACTATCTGGCTATCTGCCAAATTGGAACTTCAGAATCCAAAAAATTCAGCACTAGATAATAATATTATTGTGCAAAATACTGAAACAGGAAACTTCTAAAGAGAGTCAAATGCACTTATTTTGCATACAATTTTAAAAAGTTTAGCATATTGATTACTTGTGTTTTCTTTTCTGAGTTGACCTTAAATTTTTTGTAGCTATGAGATACAAAAGATATATGAATTCATTGGGTTGAGGATGCTTGAATTTTTTACTGTTCTGGAGTGATATTATTATTATTATTATTATTATTATTATTTATTTATTTATTTATTTATTTTACAAGTAATCTTTTATCATTATTTTTAATGGAAAGTGGCTATTCTTTGACCTTTATATGCTTTCTATCGAGGCTTTTTGTTTTGGAAGATCTTCCTTTTTTGTATTATACTAAATTTATTTTTGTTACAGAACTTATGAAACCTATCTCTGAACTCTTACATTTAATAGTTTTCCTTGAAAATTCTAGAAGATTGTTTTTCCTTTATTTAATTTAGTCCTACTTGAGGTTTTAATGTTTATTCAAACACACTGATCAATTTACGCCATCTATTTTCAACAGAAAAAAAACACGAAGCATTGGGCTTTTATCTTACACATTTTTGGCACAAACAGGCCTTGATAGAATAGTGGTTCCCATGGTGAGTTTTCTAGTTTGAATTATCTAAACCTATGCATTGGTCATTTTAGTTGCTGCCAAATAGTGAGGCAGGATGTTGCCTTCAGCAGTATTTATTTATTTTAATAATTATTTTGCTCCAGTTCCATATAATTATAGGTTTCTTCTTCTTCCTTTTTTTTATTTTTTTATTTTTTTATTTTTTATAAATTTTTATTTTTATTTTTATAAATATTTCAGATGTAAAGCTATAAGTATTGCTTCTAAAAGTGCTATAAAATACATTTTACTTTGGTTCCTTAAATTAAATATGAGTATATGACTCCCCAATCTTATTGAATGGTGCTATTTTAGCACATAAGCTTTGTATGCAAATTCCTCTGCTTACATGTCATATCCACTTTATTATATCAGGCAATGTAGTTTTCCACTTTTTACCACTTTTTCCTATAAAGAAAAGGTAAAAGAAATAACCTTCTTCCCAAACTGCTAACAACTTGGTCATATCCTTGTCAACATGTTTTGCTTTTTGACAATTATGCATGGCTTCTAAAACAAAATTTGCTAATTGCTATACTATTAACAATTTAGTGCTTCTTTATCCCAAACAGATATGAGGCAAAGAGCTCTATTTTAAAAATTATTTAAAAACCTTTTCAAGAAGTCTTTTTTATGTTTGCTAAACAAATCTTGGAGTAGAAAGGGCACTTTTAGAAGATTGCTTTTGTCACTTAAAGACCCGTGTCTACACCAAAAATCTTTCTTGGAAAAGACTCAAATTGAGGCTTCTAAAAAAAGAGGCAAATTGCCTTGTATAGTTGTATATACTCTAAAACACACTTTGTAAAAAACTTTTTTTTGCCCAGCTTATGGCTTCTTGAAGTAGATAAGAGGTAATAAGCTCCTGACTAAACAATCACTTACAAAGTTACAAATAATGTTTTGTAGTTTTTAACCTCTGGGAGATATTCTTCCTCCTATCCTACTAAGATTTGTGCCTGTCTCTAACTTTTGTTCAATGGTGCAGATTGACTATGAATACAACTCATCTGCTGGCACCTGGAATTCATTATACAGTGAACAAAATTTCAGGAGTAATCTTTCTCTTCTGTTGCGCTGGTCCCCATTTTCAACTGAGGAGGCTCTTCTTCGTGAGGTATGTCTGACCTTTGGTATTACTCTGTTACTTCCTTGTTCCTTCCTCTATGCAATGTGAAATACCAAGTGTCCTCCCTAAAATAATATTGAACTTGTAGCAGATCCAGTAAACACTTTACCTGTTAATCCATGATGTAAATTTTTGTTTGTAAAATTCTGGGCACAGTTATATAGTGAATTAGTCATTAATACTAGCTATTGAATTTTTCTAATATCAATCCCCACAGCTGAAAAATTACTGTATAAGGAAGAAAATTATGTTGTATTCATTTTGTATAAGGGGAGTCCTAATTGTATATATATGGAAGATTACAGAGGAAACTAATTAATGGTATCCCATGAATCCATGATTTGTGGACTTGTCTATGCCTGCAATTTGTAGAATTCTTGGAATAGATATCATACATTGCTATGTCCTGATGCATGAGAATTACTGTTTACATCAACCTTCTTGTTTTTAGTTGTGCATTTCCAGTTATAAGAACTATTGATATGCTTTTCCTTGTAATTTCTTTTGTTTAATGGACAGTTCGTTGACATTGGTGATCATGGCACGAAGATTATAATTTACAATTTATGGTTGAGTGATGAAGGAAAAACAGAGCTCGACTTCAACTCTGATCCTGAGGTTTGTTTTTGTAAACTATATCACTCAAGATTTCTTAGTCTGTTGTAAATTCATTTCCAGTCATGTAACTTCTTTGTCACATTAATTGCAGGATATTCGTATTTGTATAGATCCAAATAAAATGGAGAAAGGTGCTCGTTCATCAGTAAGTGATGATCATCTTGCCAACCGTCTCCGTTTTTCACTGCGTGTAAGCTTGTATAGTATCATTTTACCCGTGAAATCCTTAATCTCTGCATGCACATCGATTCCTAATCTTTTATCCTTACACACTGAGCAGGCATACCTATCCATCTTGTACTTGCGAGTTCCAGAAAACTTTTGTATGGTTTTACGTGGATCCTTAGTTGAGTATCATAATATTGCTAATGAACTCAAATATCGGCAATGCATCATGTATAGACCTCAAAGCGCTGGAGTTTCAGAGGTAGAAACTTATTTTGCTTTTATATTGATGTACTGTTACATTAAGTATGCAGTCAGTAATCTGCTTGTACATACATAGTGATTAATTTTCCATTGGAGAACCTTTTCTGTTCTTCTCAGTTCTCTCCTATCACTGGTTGGAGTAGCTTATGTTACTTATTTTTGCTCTGGATTCATGGAATTTCTAAATAAAGATGCTCAAAACTATTATTATTCTTGATTAGCTTGAAACGTTTAATGTCAAATGTTTACAGTTGATGTTTTCCAATAACTTTTAAGGGTGGTGTTCTTTCCCATAAATTTAATGGTGATACTTTTCTGCTGCAGGGTGAAGTCATTACCACAATTGGGTTTTTAAAAGAGGCCCCATTGGTGAATCACCATGGTTTCAATGTCTACCACAAAAATCGTTTAATACTGGTGAGTAGTTAAATGCATTCTCCAAAAAGAATCTCAGCCCCACAGCATGATTGAATTTTCTGAGGTGATAACAAAATTGGAGGGACCCCTGGGCCCTGGGGGTGGGGTGGTGGTGGATATTGAATATTAGTGATGTCATCTCTACACTAGTAGTGAGGGGATTAACAGTCTCATGCCCTTCAGAGCCTATTTTTATCCAAACTTTAGGATTAAGTGGCCCAGGACCTAATTAGAGGCACTTTGAGAGTCTTGCTGTAAAGATCTTCATAAAATTGTGGGTTAATTGTGAATCATAAGAATTAAGATGACTCTTTGTCCTAATATAAAACTTGTGTTCTTTTTGCGAGACATTAACCTTGCTGAAAGTGTTCACTTATCCTGCACTGTGCTTCTTAACAAAATATTTTTGGACTCTAAATTATCCACTCACTCTGTTCCTAAAAAACTATCCTGCTTCCTATTTTCTCGTGTCCTATAAAATTTGTCTTCTATAATAAATTCAATGACTTTTAGGTTAATTACCAACAATACTGTATTTATGAAAGGTAAGTCTGGAACTATTCAATCAAATTAATGGCCATTAGTGTATTAAATACAAATTACTAAATCTATGGATTTTTTCTCACAAATGTGATGTTTTTTGCTTTTATTTTTTTAATGGAGGAAGAATTACTAAAGTAGCATCTGCTATTGTTTTTTGTTCTTTTAGCATCTGACCTGCTTTGAAATTGATCTCTTCATAATAATTTATAATATTCAAGTGGTTTTCATTCATTTGTCTTAAATGCTAATTGATGGGGTGTGCATTTTAAAGATTCCTGTTATTCCTTCTGCCCTGTATGCTTTATATCTTATATATTTCTCTTTGCTCTGTTGAAGCCATTTTGGCACGTTGTCAACTATTCTGATAGTAGAGGCAGAGGGGTTGTAGGTAAGAAGCCTTAAAGCAGTTACCTCATTTGCATTTTTTGTAATGCGTGAAAAATAAAACTACGTACTAAAGAAATTAGTGGCCTTTCAGGTGTTCTGGAGGCAAACTTCATTCAGCCAACGCACAACAAACAGGACTTTGAAAAAACTCCTGTTTTTCAAAAGCTTGA